ATATGGTTGAGGATAAATCCCAGACAAAAGGTACCAGGACAGAAAGCTCTTGCTGCCCATGAAGTGCCCAGGCTGGCCCACCAACTGCACCAGAGAGTCAAATGTTTCAGGCTTTCTTTGCTGGGGATAAGGGCTGTTGTTTGCTTTTCTCAGCCCTGCACTCAAACTGCCAGTCCCACTCCGAAAATTCCATACGGACAAAGATTCCTCCCAGACCAAAGGGTGCCAGGACACAAAGCTCTTGCTGCACATGTAGTGCCCAGGCTGCCCACCAACTGCACCAGAAACCCAAATCTGACAGGCTTTGTTTGCTGGGGATAAGAGCTGTTTGCTTTTTTAGCCCTGTGCTCAAACTGCCAGTCTCACTTCCAAAATTGCATACAGACCAAGATTCCTGCTGGACCAAAGGTGCTAGGACAGAAAGATCTTGCTGCCCATGGAGTGCCCAGCCTGGCCCACCAACTGCATCAGAAAAATAGATGCCAGGCTTTCTTTGCTGGGGATAAGGGCTGTTGTTTGCTTTTTTCAGCCCTGCGCTCAAACTGCCAGCTTGACTGCCAAAATTGCATAGGGGCCAAGGTTCCTCCCAGACCAAAGGTTGCTGTCCATGGAGTGCCCACTCTTGCCCACCAGCTGCGCCCAAAAGCCAAAGGTTCTAGGCTTTCTTTGCTGAGGATAAGGGCTGTTGTTTGCTTTATTCAGCCCTGCGCTGCAGCTGCCAGCCCAACTCCCAAAATTCATACAGATGAAGATTCCTGCCAGACCAAAGGACAGAAAGCTCTTGCTGCCCATGGAGTGCCCAGGCTGGCCCACCAACTGTACCCGAAAGCCAAAGGTTGCAGGCTTTCTTTCCTGGGGATAAGGGCTGTTGTTGGCTTTTTTCGGCCCTGTGTTCGATTTAGGGAGTTGGACTGGGAATTCCAGCACAGGGCTCTGAAAAGCCAACAACAGCCCTTTCCCCCAGGAAAGAAAGCCTGCAACCTTTGGCTTTCGGGTACAGTTGGTGGGCCAGCCTGGGCACTCCATGGGCAGCAAGAGCTTTCTGTCCTGGCACCTTTTGTCTAGTAGGAATCCAAGCCATATAAATCCCTGCTTTGCTTCAGCTTCTGCTTCTTTTTCCTTTGTTCCCAGTTCACAAGCTCAGGTTTTACTGCTAGAGGCTCAGGCTTTGTTCTTTCCATTCCCTACCAATGCATGGGAGAGGCCATAAGCAGCCCCCAGGCAGCTCCCTGGTTCCTTGACAGCCGGCTGCTCTGGCGCTTGCCAGTGGTGTCTCCCATCCCTGTGGCAGAAGCCCTGGGGGCCTTGGCAGGGGAGTGGGGACACCCCCAGAGGGGCCAGACAGGCCTGGCTGGGGACAAAGAGGGAAAGGGGGCCCTGCTGGGCCACCTCTGCTGGGTGCTGCCGGTGAGGAACAGAGGCAGAGGCTGGGCTGTGGGCCAGCCTGGGCCCCCGCGGCTGCCCAGGCCATGTGGCTGTGGCCCAGAGCCCACTGAGCCAGAGCTCTGAGCCCTCAGAGCTGCTGCCAGAGCTGCTGCCAGCACAGGGAGGGCACGGGGATCCTGGGGCAGGGCTGCGCAGTCGCTGCTGCCCGAGCAGCTCTGCGTCACAGAGAACAGCAGCAGGCTGTGCACAGGAGCAGCAGCACCCACAACGCCTGGGCCTCCTCACCCAGGCACCCACACGGGCCAGGATGCCAGAAGTGGGGATACCGTGCACACAATTGCATGTGGTTAGGAAAAGGCTTCAGGGAAAGTGGCCACAACAGCTTTCTATTGACTGCCCAGCCTCACAACAACACTTAGCAGCTTCAGGGGCAACCTGTCATACTGGCTCACTTCTGTGGCCGTGCCTGAGGGCAGAGTCACCTTCCAGACTCAGGTGTCCCAAGGCAGTGGCACTGGGGCCTTCCTTAGAGACTGTGATGGGATATGAGCCTTGGGGTGCAGTTGCTGAAAGTCTCCTCCATGCAGGCACCTTAAAAACACATGCATGGGCTTCTAAACTCTAAATCCAGGCCTTCCTGGAATGGAAGGAAGAAGCAGCAGAAGCTGAAGCAGGGCCTCATATGGCTCAGGTTGCAGGATGGAGGGAAGTCAGCACTGTGGTGTCTGCTGCAAAGATGGTCCATTTCACAAGCTCAGGTTTTGCTGCTAGAGGATCCTACTTTGGGCTTGCTGGAGCCCATTCCCTACCAATGCATGGCCCCTCATTGTTCTTGGATCAAGTGTTCTGGACCCATGGGAACATGTGTGCCCTCTGTCCATGCCAGAGCAGCAACTGGCAGAACACATCTGCTTCCAGCACTTGTCTTGGCTGCTCCTTCCAGTGGGGTGGCACCTTAATCAGAGACACGGAACAAGTTTGCATCCCAGAGTTCTCCCTATCCCCTTTGCTTTTCCCCAATGCCCTGGATATCATCTGAGAGTCGCATTCAGACACACAGCAACTGGAGCTTTGAACTGTGCCTAAAGTTTGTGTCCAGCTGTCTTAGATACTTTGGAGAACAGACTCCTTCTGACCTGGGGCAGGTGGCTGGGCTGGGGGAGGCCCCAGGGCATGTGGTAGTGTGTCACAGGGCCCTTCATGACACGATGGGCATCGCCGATGGCATGGAACAGGGCAGGGTGTCACAGGGCCTTTGTGACACGTGTTGACATAGTACTGGTGGTGACGTGGCGACGCCTCAGTGCTCCTTGGAGCATGCGACGGGACAGAGGGATAGAGCGGTGCTGTGTGGAGCCCCCACGCAGTCAACTCCTTCCTTTCTGACCCGGAGCGTTTTGGAGGTGTTTCTGTGTTACAGGTGTCCTCAAGGCCAGACCGCGGGACTTGGTGACACGGAGCTTTGGTGAGGTGTCCCCAATCCCTGTGGCAAGTGCCCTTGAGGCTGTGCTACACAACTTGATAACCCATAGCATTTCCTAGGCTTTTCTCTCATTCAGTTGCCCTCGAGGCCAGACCGCAGGATTGGTGATCCGGAAATTTTCCGGGGAGTCTCCAATCCCTGCGGAAGGGGGCCTCGAGGGCAGCCTGCAGGACTTGGTGACCCGGAGATCTTCCGAGGTGTCTCTCTCTTGCAGGTACCCTCAAGACCAGACTGTGGGATGGTAGGAAGACGCCTGAGCCTGCTCAGAAGAAGGAAGAAGAAGGAAGGCCCTGGGACTACCCCAGCACAACCCCCTGAGGAGGTGGAGCAGTTCCAGCCCCTGCAGGAGGGTGAGTGGCAGAGCTGGGCCACAGGGCTGGTGGCTGCAGCCAGATGGGCCTCTTCCCATCCCATCCTCTATGGACATGGCCAGGGAAGGGGAGGGGCGAAGAGGGCCTGGGGCTGATCCCCCGGCAGCTCCATGCACTGGGCATGCCAGGGCTGGCCCTGCCTGTGGAGCGCAGGGCTGGGCTGTGTTCTCTGGCCTGTCCCGCAGCCCCTCATCTCTGACCACGCTCGCTCTTTGCCAGATCCAGGCCAGAACCGGATACAAGAGCAGGACCGTGCTCGTGGCCGCTTCCGCAGGGCAGTACAGGTGCCAGCAGCCATCCCCCCCTGGGCTGAGCCTGCTGTCAGCCTGGCACCACTATTGGAGCTCTCCATGGCACATCCCTCTCTTCCCTGCCCTTTGTTCTCCCGCAGACCTTTCTGAAACTGTTGGGCGTTCGCCGTAGAAAGTGCAGAATCACACCAACTGAGGTCATGGCACAGCCTGACCCCACACCGACTGAGCTCAAGGCAGACCCTGATGTCGGTACCGCATCAATTGATGGCACAGCAAACTGTGACACCGTGGTGACCGAACACGTGACAAACTCCAACATGGCACTGCCTGAGCTCACCATGAAGACTGATGGTGCAACGACTGAGGGCATCGCAGATGCTGACAGCACACCCGTTCAGCGCCTGCTAGATGCTCCCATTCTGGATATTCTTGACGAGGGAGTTACCCCTGTGGAAGTAAGCAGCCTGTGGGTAGGGACTGTCTGGCCCCTCAAGCTGGGTCTGCTGGACTCCCTCAGCCTTTGAGGCTTGCACAGTGTGGTGGGAAGGGAAGGACTTCTCGGGGGAAGCTGGGGAATTGCTCCCTCTGGCAGCTCTAACTGCCCCATGTCCTCTCCAGGCCAGACTGTGGGACTTGATGACCTGGAGCGTTCCAAACAGTCTTCTATTGCAGACACCTTCAAGGCACGTCTGCAGGATTTGGTGACCAGAGATTTCCATGCCATGTCTCCTGCAGGAAACCATGAAGGTAGACAGAGACATGGAGCAGAGACCCCCCAGGGTGGTCAAGCTAGTCTGCGTGAAGAAAGCGAAGGAGGAAAGCCCTGGGGCTGCCCCAGCACTGCAGCCTAAGAAGGTGGAGCAGTTCCAGCCCCTGCAGGAGGGTGAGTGGCAGAGCTGGGCCACAGGGCTGGTGGCTGCAGCCAGATGGGCCTCTTCCCATCCCATCCCCAATGGACAAGGCCAGGGAAAGGGCGGGGGGGAAAGAGGGCCCATGGCTGATCTTCCCCGCAGCTCCATGCACTGGGCATGCTGGGACCATCCCTGCCTGTGGAGCGCAGGGCTGGGCTGTGTTCTCTGACCTGTCTCGCAGCCCCTCAGCTCTGACCACGCTCGCTCTTTGCCAGATTCAGGCCAGAACCGGACACAAGAGCAGGACTGTGCCCGTGACCACTTCCACAGAGCTGATCAGGTACCTGTAGCCATCGCCACCTGGGCTGGGCCTGCTGTCACTGCTCAGCCTAGCACCACTGTCAGAGCTCTCCACGGAACATCCCTCTCTTCCCTGCCCTTTGTTCTCCTGCAGAGAGTGCGGAAATCCATGGGCATTCGGCGTAGAAAGACCAGGACATCACCAACCAAGGTCATGGCACAACCTGACCCCACGCCGACTGAGCTCAAGGCGGACCCTGATGTCGGCACCACGTCAGTTGATGGCACAGCAAACTGTGACACTGCTGTGACCGATCACGTGACAAATTCCAACGTGGCACTGCCTGAGCTCACCATGGAGGCTGATGGTGCAACGACAGAGGGCATCGCAGATGCTGACAGCATTAGCGTTGAGTACCTGCCCGATGCTCCCAGCCTGGACGTTCTTGGGGAGAGAGTTGTCTCTGCTCAAGTAAGCACCCTGTGGGTAGGGACTGTGGGGGCCCTCAAGCTGGGTCTGCTGGGCCCTCTCAGCCTTCGAGGCCACAACAGTATGGTGGGAAGGGAAGGACTCCTTGGGGGAAAGTGGACAAGTTGCTCCTTCTGGCAGCTCTCCAACTGCCCCATGTCCCCTACAGGCCAGACTGTGGGACTTGATGACTCAGAGCATTCCCAAGGTTCCTCTATTGCAAGTACCTTCAAAGCACTTGTGCAGAACTTGGTGAGCCAGGCTTCTCCATGCCATGTCTCCTGCAGGTAGCCATGGACCCAGACAGAGACATGGAGCGGAGACCTCCCAGAGTGCCCAAGTTGGCTTGGGTGAAAAAAGGGGAAGAGGAAAGCCCTGGGGCTGCCCCAGCACTGCAGCCTAAGAAGGTGGAGCAGTTCCAACCCCTGAAGGAGGGTGAGTGGCAGAGCTGGGCCACAGGGCTGGTGGCTGCAGCCCGATGGGCCTCTTCCCATCCCATCCCATCCTGTGGACATCTCCAAGGAAAGGGGGGGGAAGAGGGCCCAGGGCTGATCCCCCGGCAGCTCCATGCACTGGGCGTGCTGGGGCCATCCCTGCCTGTGGAGTGCAGGGCTGGGCTGTGTTCTCCAGCCTGTCCCACAGCCCTTCAGCTCTGACCACGCTCGCTCTTTGCCAGATCCAGGCCAGAACCAGACAAAAAAGCAGGACCGT